CAGGAAAAAATCAACCAAACACATAGGAGAATGACATAGTCTTCACTTGGCACATAAATCTAATCAAGGTAGATACCAAGTGAGTGACTGTGGGCAGGGAATTCCACAGATGAGGTGCCATTACTGAAAAAGCCCTGCCTCTATAACCATATTCCTGACCTCTGAAGTGGCAGCACACTGAGAGGACTTCTGCTGATTAGCTTAACTGATGGGTGGGAACATGAAGGAGTACTTTTCATACCCTGGTCTCAGGCTGGTCCATTTCCACTGTCCAGGTTGTGGGGAACCTAATCCTGGGGGAAACTGGGTCCACTCTGCCCATGGTGTTGGTGTGTACTTCTGGTTTGCTCACCCCTTGAATTCCCACTCTTCTGCCTGACAAATGTTTGGGGATTATGCAACAATATGACAACTGAAACCAAGCAATACAGTCTCCCCCTGTACTGTACAACTATGATAGGGCCTTGTGAATTCCTGTCTGTCAGTGCAGCCATTAAGTGCACAGAGAGGCTGGGAGGTGGGCTGGCAGTGGAGATGACAAATTCATGCTGAGAGAGTAGTGGGAAAGGGTAATGAAGTTAAGGGGGAAATCAAACAAAAGACCCTTTGAGGGTTGGTGGTCCAACACTTGCTCAGGACTTACTTCTCTGTAATATTCTTCATAAACTTCACATTGGTCATCCTGCATTAGGGACCTGTTGGTCAAAAAGTGGAAAGCAATAATGCAAATGCAAATGGAAATATGTAAATAACCAATCCCTGCAGGTCACATAAGATGGAGATTGGAGGCCAAGGCTACAGCTACACAAAGAGGTTTCTTATGGGTCATAATTTTAATGTCAAAACAGGACTGGGCAGCAGCAGTCCCTCCCTGTGGACTGTGCATAACCCATAGATATTTGTGTCTGCCAGGGATGCAGGACAATCAGTATGGCTATGCAAAAGTGTGGTGCAGCTTACAGCAACAAGGAATATATCCAAGATACTCACAGTGCCTCATGGATATACCCTGAGAATGAGTTCTGCAAAGCTGCCCACGTTATCTGTAAGTGAAGCAGAACAAAACAGGAATCCAGTGTCATCTTAAAGACAAACAAAATTTATTCCAGCATAAGTTTTTGTGAGTCAGAGCTCACTTTATCAAATGCATAGGCGTGCAAGTCCATAAGGCTCATTAGACACACAATAGAAAGGTTGGGGCATGTTACAAAGAGGCCAGTTCAAAACAAGAACCAATTCAAACAGTAATCATTTCAGTCAGCATGTATGTGAGACACTCCCAACTGTTGTTTGATAGACAAAATATGAAACAAATGACATAATTAAATGAGATAAAAACATACAATAGGAAGTTACAGAGATTTAGCTCATTATTTATATTATTATTTATTACTTTCGGCTTCTACCCCGCTCGAACCTCCTAGGGGGTCTCTGAGCGGCTTACAGTTACTCTGTTATCCCTAACTATGGCCACATCTAAATTGGGGTGGGGACTGCCCTACCAGCACCCTGTAGATGGCGCTGTTGTTCTTCTTGATCTTAGTTCGGCATCTCGGCCCATTGCTGGCTCGGCTCCCTCCAGCTTTCCTCCTTCTCCTCTTTGCTTGTCCTCGGCGTCGGCTACGGTCGGCGGCTCCATCCTGTGCCCGGTGCGTATCGGCGCGGCTTGAAGACTAGTGGGATAAAATCTAGTAAACAAATAAAATAAAACATAGTTCTTCCCATTTCGGGGGACAAAAGTCAGTCTCCTGGAGGAATCTCCCTGGGTTTAGTCACCTTGTTCAGGCAATCTACTCCTGCTACCTAGTTTAGCTCCCCTCCCCTCCCCCCCTTCAAAAGTTCCAGGAATCTATACCAATGCTTGGTAAGTTCTCAAAAGTTCTCTGTTTTTGCCAAAATCACTTTGTAATCCAGCCCCCCTCTTAATCCGCTTGTAAAAGAGTTACTTTTTAGTCTGTCCAAGAGAGGGTCCCCCCCTGGCAATGTCCCGGGGTGGGGGGGTTCTCTACTTAAATACGTGTCTCTTCATTTAACCAACACTCACAGTTCATCGTAGCTCGCCTTTTGTAGTTTATAGTCACTTAGCCACCAGACGCTTGATCCTGGTGTGCGCTCTTAGTACCATTGCGGTTGCTCCGCAGTGGGATCATCAGGGCAGGAGAAGCCCCCCTTCGCCGGCCAGTCCGTCGGGGGAAGAGCTCTCAAAAGCCCCATGGCTAGGAGCCTATCACAAGGGCTCCGGGGTGTGTGTGTCACAGACAATCAGACCCCCTCCCAGCCACAGGCACTGACGGGAGGCTCCTGGAGGTCGAGGAGAAACCACCCGCCATAGCAGACGCCAAAACCAGAAAACCATTCCTGATTTATTCCAAGTAAGAGTACAAGATTTTGGGTTCTTAGCTAATGTAGAGATGTCTTAAGATCTTGCCAAACCACTTGAATGCTGTTAAAGATTTAGAGAATGAAGAGCAAAAAGTCTTGTTCTTGCACTTGGCAAATTGCATTCTTATGACTGTGTTTCTCATTTTTGTCTCTTTTTGCCCTTTCCTTGTGAATTTGTCACAACCTCTCCTGCCCTCCATACAGAACAAAGCTGGACACAGCTTGCCCTTTGCCCTGACATGCCTTTGTCTTGTAGGGCCTACTTGTTTGAGCCTGCCTTTTAATATTCTAGCTAAGAACAGTTATTCTGGTCAGTTGAGCTGAGTTTGTTTGACAGGTTCACCGTCCATGCAGTACTTCTGGTGGTGCAGAAATTCAGGGTTTATCCCTGAATATGACTTAAATAGATAACCAGAAGTATGCTCACCATGATCTGTGAATACACGCTGTTGACAGTTCAAGAGGCAGATATGTACATTAATTCTTTTACATAGTTCATATATATTACTCATTTTAATAGAAGACTAAAAATTGACATTTTACAATATAAATCAATCCTAGAAACCCTGTGTGAACAACAACAAAATTAAATACACCTCCCTCCAGAAATTTCGTATGCAAGCAGCATACTGATGTGTATGTAGAGCTTCCTCCACCCAGAAGGACTGTTCTTTCTTTTGACTATTTCAGTGCAGAGAGACAAATTTGAGCACACAGTCCTTTTTCCTGCTCTTTTGGTTAAAATGAATGAAGGAGACTGAATGTGCAAGAGTTCTGCGTGCTCCATCATTGGGGAAGATGTTCTGCCGGTTCAGAATACGACCCTTTCCCCCCTATGGTGTCCCTTATTTTTCTGCTGTAAGGATCGCTTCATCACGTCGGACAGGTCAGTATAGCCCAACCAATGATCTCCTGCTAATGCGAGTCCTAGTTCTGTGTTGTTGAGTGTGTGCTTGAGTTTTATTTGTATGTGTGCAAATTCTACAGTAAAGAAACCATTTCTCGAACATCTGGTCTCTGCGTCTATTTCTGGGATACTGGATTAAGCAGGGCTCCTGTATACATAGGTTATTGCTCCCTTGTATGCCTATTGCCATTTAATTTTCTAATTCCCAACAATTATTAATAAATCAAGGCAATTTGGCTAACAGTGGGCTCTATGGCATTCTATTCAGCTGAGGCCTCTCCACCCAAATTCTGGCTTCCGTAGACTCCACCACAGAATATCCAGAAATTTCCCAACCTGGAGCTGGCAACCCTATTCAGGACTGGCCCTAATGAGTTCCCCACAAAGGCCTGGAAAGCTCCTCCTGCCTTTGCCTTTTACTGACAGAACCAAGCGTGGTTGCCTAGCAACAGCCACTGAGGGAAAAGTTAGTCCCACAGGAGCCAAGCATGAGAAGTGTCTTTGTCAGGAGAGATAGCCGTTTGGCAGTTTATTCTTTGAGAGAAGCCTGTCCAGGCTGGCAGTGGGTGGGGAGAGGAGCAGACCCAGCCCCCCCAATAACACGCGAGTACTCTTGAGTGGCGGTTGATGGGACAATGGCTGATGGAGTGCACTGCACAGCCAATGGGAGAGCTGGAAATGGCCATTACATAGGGGAATTATATATATGTAGGATATTGCAACATCATCTCATATTTTTTATTTCTCTTTTATTTCATTTTTTTCTAGCTTTGTATCTTGTTAGGAGAATAAAGATTGTTTAATTTGAGAGTCTCTCTTTCATATTTCCCCCCTTCTTAACTGAAGTGCTGTATCACATAAGAACCCAGGTAGGCACTAGACTGAT